GGTCGAAATGGAGGTAGTCTTCGCAAGGAGACTTGGGTGAAAGTGGCAACCAAACTTGAGGAAGTTTGCCATGTAAAACTCACCCAGAAACAACTGAAAAACCAATATGATTATTTAAAGGGAAAGTATTCGGGATGGGTGTACCTAAGGAATAAAACGGGGAATATTTATGACCCTGAAATGAATACGTTCACCCTAACTAATCAAGAATGGGAAGATTTCTTCAAGGTTAGTTTTTATTCTTTTTTACCTTTTTAGATATTATAGACAAAAGCATGAGTTTTATATAAATAATAATACTTAATTTGGACGCAGGGACATCCAAAGGCAAGAACATTAAAGACATCACCATTGATATACCCTGATTTATGTATAGCTTTGTTCGAGAGGACTTCTGCTACCGGATCTCGTGCTTATGCCCCTAGTTCAACCCGTGAGAGGACTACGATTTCATCTTCATCATTTACATCCAATATCCCTACTACTCAAGAAACTGAAAATAAGGTGGATGGAGATGAGGAGGAAGGACCAACCATCAATAAAGCGAGCACAATTCCATCTAGACCGAAGAAGAAGAGTAAAACCAAGGTCGACATGGATGAATTGGCTCTAGAAATGAGGGGTGCACTTCAAACACTTGTTACACAAAATACCTCAAACCTAAGTGCTTGTATGGAACGGTTGAACACTCTTGACCTTGATAAAAGGGATCCTCTTTATAGTGCAGCCATTGACATTTTTGGGCAGTCAACGTTATTAAGAGAGACATGGTTGACGATCCCTTTAGACGCTGATATATTAACATCATGGATTTCAAGGACGGCAAGACGAATGGGGCTCATGGATTAGTTTTTAGAATTTGAACTAGTGGCTTGGTTGTGCGTTTTATATTTGAACATGTTATTTGCTTATATGTTTGATATTTGACTACTTGGTTATGTGTTTTGGAAGTTGAACAAGTTGTTATTTGGTAATGTGTTTGATATTGAAGTTTCATTCTATTTTAATTTTATTTATGCTTTTAACAGGTTTATCATGGATAATAATAACAAAACTATACTTCTCATCGTCGTATTTTTATATATGTTCTACTTGCGACAAAGACGTTTAAAAAGGAAAAGAGATAATATGTCTGCAATGATTGGACGTCAATTTACGAATGAGCTACTTGAAGGTAGTGATCGGCAATGTATTAACTTGTTGTGAATGTCCCGTGAAGCTTTCATTCGATTATGTGATTACTTTAAAGCAAAAGGTTGGTTAACGGATAGCAAACATATATTGGTCGAAGAAAAGATGGCTATCTTCCTAATAATTATAGGTCACAATCAACGTTATAGAGTGTTGAAAAACAGGTTCCAGCACTCAACACAAACAATTCATAAAAWWTTTCATGAAGTGTTGGATAAAATGATGGAGTTTGCAAAAGAGATCATATTTTCTACATCATTCAATCCTAATCCAGACATCCCTGAGAATAATAGAAGGTTACGACGAATATTTAAGGTAAATAATAATTCAATAATATTTGTATAACTTTTCTTGCTAAATTTATTTTGACTATTTAGCTTTAATGTAGGAAGCAATTGGCGTCTTGGATGGAACTTTAATACATGCTATCGTCCCTATTCAAGAGCAACATTTATATAGAGGACGAGGAAAGGGTGAATGTTATCAAAATGTTTTAGCAGTTTGTGATTTCAACATGGTTTTCACATTTGTTGTTGCCGGATGGGAAG